GAGACCTTGCCTTCTGACTTGATGGAGTGACCTGAAGGTGTACTTTGAGAACTGCTACTGGAACTAACAGACGAGATGAGCTATGTGTGTCGAGTTTGGGCTTGTTTTGTTAGGTATGGTGAGACCTTGCCTTCTGACTAGATGGAGTGACCTGAAGGTGTACTTCGAGAACTGCTACTGGAACTAACAGACGAGATGAGCTATGTGTGTCGAGTTTGGGCTTGTTTTGTTAGGTATGGTGAGACCTTGCCTTCTGACTTGATGGAGTGACCTGAAGGTGTACTTTGAGAACTGCTACTGGAACTAACAGACGAGATGAGCTATGTGTGTCGAGTTTGGGCTTGTTTTGTTAGGTATGGTGAGACCTTGCCTTCTGACTAGATGGAGTGACCTGAAGGTGTACTTTGAGAACTGCTACTGGAACTAACAGACGAGATGAGCTATGTGTGTCGAATTTGGGCTTGTTTTGTTAGGTATGGTGAGACCTTGCCTTCTGATTTGATTGGAGTGACCTGAAGGTGTACTTCGAGAACTGCTACTGGAACTAACAGACGAGATGAGCTATGTGTGTCGAGTTTGGGCTTGTTTTGTGAGTTTTTTTGAGACCTTACTTTTGAAATTGATGTATTGGCATGAAGGTGTAAGAATACAGTAAAAAAGTTATTTAAAATATGGAACTATGTATTCTACATCAATTCTGTGTATAAATATTTGTGAAACATGTTAATATAAAAAAAAATGAAATTTAGATTATAATTATGAGTCAATAGAGTATAAATATAAGTCAAAGTAAATCACAAGTCAAAGTAATGAATTTTTAATATAAACATTCTACATTACTTAGACATGATTAAATATTTTAAATGTCTAATTTGACAGTGTACAGATTTTAGAATTTTCGTTTAAATTTAAATACTCCGGGAGGCCTATGAACCTATCTGGTATTTTATTATAAATTCTTATTTCCATGCAGCCAAATGTTGGCCAAAAGTACACCACATGTAGAAAAGTTGTATGGATAATTAAAAATACAAGTAATACAAAACAAATTTGCACACTTGCAAATTGTAAGATTAGGCATGTCTAAAAGGTCATTTTTTTTTTGTATGTTTCAATGAATAGGTGTAATAAACATGTACTTCAAAAGTTTCGAACGACAGCTATGTGGCAAACTTTTTGTTTCACGTTTATGACCCCATTTATCGTTTATTGTTTTGTCGTGTTTCGCACTGATCAACTTTTATGATCATGGATTCTGCCTAAAATAATACTTAATTTAAAATAAGTAAGAACGTCTTTAAAATAGGCAAAACACGAAAAAAAAAAGTTATGTAAAAATGTAGTGGGTCTCAACTTAAATTATCAAAGACTTATTTTTATGGCACAGTTATCACATACAACATTTATACCTCTTATAACTCAATTGTTGTTTCAGATGCCAAAGCCTAAAACGATAAAATTTTAGCAGGCTACTACTTCGATATAGATAAAAAAAATAATTAAATGATAGAGAACTATAAAGAAAAATCACAAAGATCCGACACAGAGCACCCCGACTCCGTGTGGTCTTCCCTATCCCTAGAGTGAACATCAAAAGGCGGAGCCAGAACCTCGTGTCGGAGGTATAAATTGGCCTCGCGGGCTTGCTCCACCCAGGATCGACATAGCGACAGTTCTGCGAAGCATGGAAGAGTCAAATTAAAAAATGAAACAATATTCTTTTAAGCTATTGCACAGCTTTATTGCGGGCTTTGAGCGCGGCGAACGAATCAATAAATTCCGTAACGAAAATAAAACCTAACACCACCCACTCCGCCTACCACGCAAGAGGAAAGATTTGATTGTTTTTATGCATTGAATAGGCTCCTAAACCACTGAACAGATTTGAAAATTTCTTTCACTGTCTGGAAGCTACATTATCCCCGGATGACATAGGATATATTAAATTTTCAAAAAACTAGGAATCCCTACTAAAACTTGAATAATGTAAACCAAAGTGTACAAAAATTACCTAAAATATTGTTTGCATCGCGTGCACTGCTAAAACTATTGATAATTGTATAAAATAATGTACTACGAATTTGCAGAACACATCATTATTTATAAAAAGTGTTGCGACAGTATATGTCTAACTATTATAGTTATGCCACAATAAGTATTCTTTTACTTTAAAATTTTGATTGAAATGCCGCTGCTAGAAAAGGCTCTTTATTTGTATCTTGGTTAATCCTTATAAAAATAAATTACTTTATATTTAAGACTGTTTCAATATCTTTATATAACTTTTTGAATGATTAAATTCGGACATTACATTCGAAAGAGATCACAAGTTTAAAAATGTTAGTATATTGTAATTTAACTATCCAGAGCTTAGTGACTGACTTAGTAGTTCTTATCATTTTTGTAAATAATATAAATTAATTATATATTATTAATTATAATATATATTAATTATTACATTATTAAAATATTATTATTTATTAACATAAATATAAATATCAAAGAAAAAAATACTGCATAATCAAATAATTATAATCGCATAAGTTGATAAAAGATGCTATGTTATAGCTTTACCCCAGCTGAGCCGAGTGCAACAGGTTTTTTTTTTTAAAAATGTTTTTTTTAATTTTTACTAGTTTGTTTCCTTCGTTTTATTATTTCATTTTTAGTTTCTAGATACTAGCCCGGCTTCGTACGCCATGCTATTTCCAATACATTTACAGAAAATTATTTTTTTTAACATTTAGCATGAATATTATTGAATCAGCAAAATGCATTCAGAATACCATACAAAGTATTTTACTCAATTCGTTAGCGGGTTTTACCTAATTATCTGCCTACATAGCTACCTTCCTACGTACCCTACCATTACCTACCTATCAAGCTATCTACCTACCGCACGCATAATCAAACATTTATAAAACAAGCTTCGTTTTCTTCATAAAAATTAATTAAAACATAAAATTAAATTATATACATAATTAATTAAAACGCAAATTATCAACAGCTACGAGCTTTTAAATGAAATTTAATAAATTATACCTAAATATATAAAAAAATATTCAGTTTAAAAACTTGTTGAAAACAAATTTAACGTAAGCTTAAAAAATAAATGACTTCAAATTAAATAAAAGTATCAAGTTGCGTCAGTTACATAAAGTTTCGCTGCTTCGCGCTTGTCGCTGTGTGCGTGAGCCGTGCACGTGTAGTAGTACGCCTCTGTACCTAAAATTGAAGCGCGTGAATTCGTAAACGCGTCCTTAATTTGAAATTCAAAGAAATAACGTAACATAAAATTCATTCAGATTTCATATATTCGAGATTTGTTTCTTTTATGAACTGAAATTTACCCCTTTTTAAATCTTATAAAGTCTAAATGTTAAAATACAGCTTGTCGTTACAATGGCGACAATAAATGAACACACGTCTAACGCTACTTGCCAATAATCATAAAAAAATATAAAACGTAAAAAAAACCATAATTCAAAATATATATTTTTGAAAACAAAGTAATTAAACAAAAAAGAAACAAAATTTGTAACATCCTATACAACTACAACTGACTGATTCATACATTCAGAGACGTTTTCATTCGTTGCCACAAAATCGCATTACAAGTTTCGACTTCTAACTCATATGTATGTTAATATGTTAGTATATTATCATGATATATATCAATTGAGATGTTAGTATGTTAGTATAATAAGTATATTTCATCTCTTTTAAATTCATTCAACCCATTCTTATGCTTTGTGAACTTCACAAATTGAAATTGACGTTACAGTTTTATACGTAAGGGTGTTCTAAAAAATGTTTGTTTTGTAAAATTTCATAAATCTGTAAATATTGATGTTTAAAGAATGTAAATGCTTCATACAATTTTAAAAAGTTATCCTCTATATGTGTGCTCATTTATTGTCGCACGTTAACTAGCAATAAAAATTGAATCTTACAGACTGTTGTGTGGCGTCCTTAATATCATTGTCCTTATTTTAATTTCATAATAGCAGCAGTATTCATGGTCAGTTAGGTATTACTTCAACTGCACTAATTCTTAAACTTCTGCAGAACAGTATTCATACTAAATGAGCCACTGGGACATATATCTTACACAAGTAGACAATATTTATGCAAAAAAGACTTATAAGCCAATGAATTGAATACTAGATATTACATTAAACTTTTAAATAGGCTAATTAAAAATAGTATGTGATGTTTAGTGGTGAACATCATAGATAATATCACAATTTAATACTAAATTATCGTTCATTTAGCTTTTATGTAAAATGGTGGGTAATACTTGGCTTTATATAATAAAAATAAAGCGCATAGTACATATTTGAATAAAGACTAAAATCTAAATACTTATTTGGTTATAAAATACTGACTAACTCTAAAAGGTGGAAAAACCTAAACGAATCAGATGTTGTTCTAAGAAGATAAGGAATGATAACTATTAGCCTTAAAATGAGCAAATATGACACAGGAATGCAACACAAGGAAAATACAGATGTTTTGTATTATGCAAATTGAGGAATTTTTAGTTAGAAGTTTGAGTTTTTAGAAATTTCATTTCTTAGAGATTATGGTGTAATAATATCAATAATACTTGACAGATGAAAAATATATCACAGTTATTAATTTAAGACAGTGGCATTTTAAATAATGAAAATATAAATATTCTTAATTTTTTTTTAAAAACCTTACAAAATTAAGAAAGCAGATAAAAGCTGGTAGTACATATTTCCTACTAGTATATATGAAAATTGTTAAAAACATCGGTTTTAACCTGTTTTCTTTCTACACTTATAAAATTAATTTAAAAATGGCAATCTTCTGTGCAATACCAACAGTAAGAAAATATTTTTTTACTAAATATGAATGATATCATCTTGCTCGAAACTACTAGTCAATACTTCACTTGCCAATTAACTACAACTACAAAGAATATTTTTATACAAATGTTCTTTGATTAATTTTACCAGGTGCGAGATATTTTACCGATCCATGGTTGCTAGGGGATAATCTGGTGGTAAGGCACTGAGCACTTCTTTAGAGAGCTCTTTATATGCATTTTCCATCATATTCCGCACTCGTACAATAAGATCTGGCACATCCTGCATTTTTAGCCCTTCTGTTGGCACAGGCTCCAAACATTGAATAATAGCATGACCTGAAATTTTCGTTATTTCACATATAAATTGTACACTGTTATCATAGTATGAAGAAATAATAAGTATTATTATTATTTATTGATGACTCTATGGCGCCGTTGCTAGCCTATAGGCTTCGGCGTCGAGATTTGTAGGTTCGATTCCCACACGGGACAAGAATTTGTGTGACAACATTTGCCTACCCCACCTATTACTAGTATTTATTGCTGTTTAATGCTATTTTACTATAAGCATAGTTATTTTCTAAGGGTTTAAAAATTTTGGAATGCCTCATTTATAAACAGCACCAAACTTACTAAGTTTTAGATTTATTTCTGTTAAGATAAAAACTAAAATAAAGTTAATTTAGAGTGAATTCAGGATTTCCATGCTTAATATTAGTATTGATTATGCATAAGTTAATATTTTACCTAATTTAGTGTAAAATGACACACTAGATAAGGTGTGTCATTATATTTTGGTTTTTCCCCCCCAGTCAGATAATAGCTACCGATCGAGCCGAGATCCGGCCCTCTCGGGCACCCTTGAATCGGAATGCTAAACGCGTGTTGAGTGACAGCCCAAGACGAGGTCCCCTCACGGGGACCCTTGAGCCTGATCACTCCATGGAGCGCCCGCCAAAGCGCCCTAAGAGCTTGGCGGCCTCCCAAACCGGTGATAATAATAGCGTGACGGCCCGAGCCGAGGCTCCCCCGGGAGCCCTCGAGCTTAGTCACCATAACGCGTAATAATAATACGCCGAGGTTCAAGCGCCTCGTGCGCCAGGCCACACCGCAAGCCCGTCGGAACTGTAAAGGCCCCTAAGGCCAACGGTGGCTCATCAAGCCCAAAAAAAAAATTGGTTTGATTGGAGATTGGTTTTTATGCTTTTTGTAAGAAATTGAATTGTTCCTTTAAGATGATGTGTTGTTTGCTTTGTTGCTTTGACAATTTTTTACAAAAGAAGACCATTTTTAAAAGTAATTATGCTCTTCCAAATTATTACTAGAACTAAAAATTCTAAAAGTAAATATCGATTTCATGAATGTGTAAAAAACTCCTTTATTGTTTTGGAAATGGATACAAATTATTATTTATCATTAGTCATTATATTATAAACAATATACATTAAAAATAATTAAATTTGAAATATTTATATTTGAAATATTTATATTTATGTATAGTACAAGTATTTGGATTTAGTAGTTTTAAGTAGTTTAAAAGTAATCAGATTTAAGTAGTTTAAAAGTAATCAGATTTAAGTAGTTGTAAATGTCCATGGGAAACAATAATTACTTGAGAAAATAATATATATATTGAAGTTACACAAGGCAGCAGCTGAACTTACCTTTGTTGAATATAAACTTCTTTGAATTAATAAAATAATAAGGTGATATCACTACTGGTAATATTGGCACTTGAGCAGCAACAGCTATGTTGAAGGCTCCTTTTTTAAAGGGCAACAATTTTGTGAAGTCTTTATTTCTCGTCCCTTCAGGGAAAACCCATATCTTTGTCTAAAATAAACAAATGTCATTGTAGAGGCATTTAAAAATAAAATTGTTCAATATTTGAACTTAAGAACATAAAAGTTTACCTTATTCTTCACCATCACATCTGATGTAATTTTTAATTGTTTATAAGCATCTTTTGAATTATTTCTGTCTATAAATACCACTCCAGCAAGATATGCTGCCAATCCAAAAGGCCAAACATAAAATATTTCTTTTCTTGCAATTGCTGCAATTTTGACAGCAACATGCCAAATGTTAAACATACCTGAAAATCATTTTGTGCTGTTAATTTTGAAATTGGGGGCAATTAAAATTCTTTACATAAAAATTTGGAATAACTACTGCTGTAAGTCAAGTTGAGAGTAAGGTAGACAGATTAATTTATTAAAATTGTTAAAAGTCAGAAACTAGTATAGCTATTGCCTATTTTCCAAAATCGTTTAATGATTTTAACTTACCTAATATATCAAGAGAAGACTGGTGGTTAGAAACTATAACTGCCCCCCTGTCTTCTGCTAAAACTTTACCATTTCGAAGAAACCATTTTACTTCAATCACTTTGGTTATGTGTTTAACAATTTGAGTAGCAAATCTGTAACACACATTGAAACTTATTATTTAAGACCAGTTGTAAGAACTATATTTAAAGCACTCTCATAGAAAATACTTTTACAACATAATGTCTGAACAGAAATTCTTAAAAGATTATGGTTGGTGTGAAGATTTAAAATTCATTGAATTTGTTTAGTTAATAATTTTTTTGTTACTTGTTTCTGGATAACTTACATTATAAAAAGGATAAATAACATTAAAAAAATCTATAAATACAGTATCAATTGTAGGGGTAATTACGTTATTATGGACATGTAGAAATAATTAATAATTCATCAGTTTACTATAAAAACATGAAAATATTTAAAAATTTTATAATTAAATTTAAAAATATAATTCTATGGATATAAAATAAAAAAAGTTTCATTACTTTAATAATTTTTTCCAGGTAAGGTTTTTCTATTCCTTTAAATTAATTTGTTTTTAGGGAATATTAATAAAGTGTAAAGGTATATAAAGCAGCTTTTTAAAAATCGTAATTTTTTTGTTTAGAAACATTAAAAATAATCATGTAAAATTATGAATTGTAAGAAAATTAAATCTTTCTATAATAATTATAATCAATTGATCATAATATTATAAAGTTTAATAATTAAAAAGTAAACAATAAAATAAATAAATAAATATTATGAATGGTAATAAAATTTACGAAAAAAAAAGATACTTACAAAGAATTTAAAACATTCTTTGGGTTGAATACAAAAAATGGCATCAAGATTAATGAAACTATTGAAGTCCAAAAATAAAACAGGAGGAATTTTGATTTATACTTCACAAAATTAGGTGTTTCTGAAAATAGTTGCTTCAAAACATATGTCGACAAAGTTATCACAAAAATATAAATAAATTTATCCCACATTTTTATGTTTTTCCTTAGACAAAACAGTAGAACAAAAGCTAATCAAGAATATAAATTTTTCGTATATATCGTTTTCTTGCGTCCCCCTATGTGTGCAACAATTGAATAAAATCTGTACTTTAAGTCTTTACAGAAGCGACATTTGTTTTAAATAAGCTGAGCGACCAAATAAAAACCTTATAAACATTACAACTGTGACTCATGACAGTTAACATTTATCGGAAAAGGGGAAGGGTTTGACATTGGAACAGACCAATGTTGTCAGTGTCACTTTGTTGACGGATTTATGAATAACTATTTACCAAGTAAGCCACCGGGTACTATAGTTACTATATATATATATATATATATATATATATACTATAACACCCTGAAAGCCATCAGGTACTATAGTACCAAGAACGACGCTTTTGGGCTTTTCACCATACGTTAACTCTATTTTATAAGTTATGTTTTCCAAAAATAAATGTAAAATTACAAATAAATCCATTAAATCAAAATGGATCACTAATAGCTTAAAAATATCCTGCATGAATAAGAGGAGACTTTATTTAAAATATCAACAGTCACCTATAAATAAAAGAAAAAATCTAAAAAAATATAATAGGTACAAAACCACATTAAATCTGGTTGATAGGAACGCAGTTTATAACGTTATTATATCTCTTAATAATACTAATTCTGCAGGGTATGATGATTATTTCATCATACCCTAATCATACACAAAAATGTTAAAAAGATGTGCCGGGACTCTATCTGGTCCTATATGTCATATAATAAATATGTCTTTCTTCCAAGGTATATTTCGAACACGGTTAAAGTTCTCTGTAGTCAAGCCCCTTTTTAAAAAAGGTGATAAAACTAATTAGAACAATTATCGACCGGTAACTTTAATTCCAATTTTGTCAAAGATATTTGAAAAAAACATTTCAAAATATGTTATATAATTTCCTAAATAAACATAATATTTTAAAAGCAGAACAATTTGGTTTTAGGAAAAACTACTCAACTTCATTAGCTTGTTTTACATTAGTAGAAACAATAACAGAATATTTGGATCAAAACGCTCCAATCAAAGCTATTTTTTTAGATATGTCCAAAGCTTTTGACTTTGTATCACATAGTATTCTTTTAAAAAAGCTAGATAAATATGGTATCAGAGGAAATGCATTACACTGGATAAAAAGCTACCTTTCAGATCGCTATCAGTGTATTGAAATAACATGCTTTTCGGGTCTATACAAAAAGTTACAACGATCTCGATATCAATTGAATGGATGTGGTGTACCACAGGGCAGTATTTTGGGGCCGCTCTTATTCTTAGTCTACATTAATGATCTCCCAGATGCGATTACGTATAAATGTATCTTGTATGCGAATGACACTACATTACTAATACAGTGCAAAAATAAAGATACCTATGAAAGACAAATAAATCAAACTCTGCATAATATTACTGAATGGATGATTAGAAATAATTTAAATTTAAACGTTAGTAAAACCAACATTATCCAATTTCAAACATACAACAGTAACCCTATATCTATAAATATTACAAATAATAATAAGATGCTAGAAAAAGTAGAATCAACAAAGTTTTTGGGCATAACGATCGACAAATATTGCAGCTGGAAGATACATATCGATAAAATTTGTTCCGAGTTAGAAGGTTACGTATACGTGTTAAACCGATTAAAACAAACTGCGACACCAAGCGCTGCTCTTTGTGCCTATCACGGATATGTTTCCTCCATTTTGCGTTATGGAATAATTATATGGGTTAATTCGGTCGATTTAAACAGAGCTTTCAGAGCACAAAAAAATTTATCAGATCTATAAGTGGCGCAGAATACTTAGACAGTTGTGTACCACTATTTAAAAAACACCACATTCTGCCACTACCTTGTTTATACATTTTCGAAATCGAATCCGGATGTTTATGAGCAAATATGCAAATATTTGCTCATAAACATCCGGCCCTCTTTAAAAGAAATTTAGTACAATCTAAATAGTAGATTCTCGAAGAAACTACACATGCCTCCCCATCGTACCACAATGTTCAGCAAAAACTGTTATTGTATGGCCATTAGAATATATATTACCAAATAGATTAAAACTTTGAATTTAAAATTGTTTAAGCGAAATCTGTTTAACTTTTTGATAAGTAAATGTTACTATTCCACAGGGGATTATTTAGATGATAAAATTTTATAAAAACAGTTTTCCTAGATTATATTTATTTTTGTTTTGTTTTTTTTGTGATATTTAAATAATATTTATAGTAAAATGAAATATTTGTACACCAGAAATGGTAGAACATAAAGGATCTACAGCTTTTAAGACCTATATTGTACTATGTTCTAACAAATAAACGTAAGATACGTTTATTTCTTTCTTCCTAGAAATATTAAAAAAAATTAATAAGAATACTGATGTACATGATGTAATCATTAGGAATACTAGCTTTAACGCCAGTTACTAGACTCCAAAGAGTAAGTAACTCGTTAATGGGGCGGTGTATACGCTATTACAACAAAATCCCAGTAAATGCGCAAAACTTGCCTATTAACAGGTTTAAGAAATTTATTAAAGGAAAACTTTATAAAGAGGGTTATTATAATACAAATCAATACATTAATGACAATAACCCCTGGGAATGAGTTGATCGCTCCCAAGCTATTTCTGAAAGGAAAAAAAATGAATTACAAAAAAGAGGATACCTACGGAGTTTCTTTCGCCTGTCTCTTCTCCGCTAGAGGAACTTCATTACGAAACGGTGGTAAATTCAAAAAATATGACTATCGATAGATGAAATGTAAGTTTCTTATGTCGATGAATAAATGATTTTGATTTTGAGTACAGGGTTTATTAGGTTTGTTTCAGTGAGCTCATGAGGCACCCAAATATCGAGCTTTTTTGTGTACCCAGCTTTTTTCAAATGCGCCAAAACTGTTTTGTGGTCAATTCCCAGTTCCTCAGCTACATCAAAACTACTGATATGCCGATCTTGCTCCACTTTTTCAAAAATGGCATCCATTTTGTCCGTAATAGGGCGCCCAGAGCGAGGTGCATCTTTGACATTAAAATGTCCGGATTGAAAACGCTTAAACCAAATTTGTGCTACTCTCACAGACACTGCACTAGGTCCATAAATATCTAAAATATTTTTCGTGGCTTGCGTTGACTTTTTACTTTTTTTTAACCTAAGAAAAACGAATGAAAATCAAACATTTTCCTAATTTTAATTTGGAATTATCTTTTTTAAATTTAAGCTTTTTAATGATACCAAAACCAGCCAGATACAAATGGTATAGTCAAAGATATTATGCAATAAGTACATACATACTATTTGCGAAAAGAGTTATTCCCCAACCTAATACATATATAAATATACCTATACATATACATACATAAATATATATAATCATACAAACGATAGTGGCACAACGATAACATCAACAATCTAGGTTATAAGGGGTCATTAAGAAATAAATCACAGACCAAACGTTTGAATGATGTCTATTAGGAGCTCTACGTATGTCATCAGGCAAGGAGTTCCAAAGGAGTGTAGCCGGAATAGTGAAAGAATTACTGAAGAAACTGGTATTATGTGAAGGGATAGTAATCTTTAGATTAACCGAGGAACGGAGATCTCTTTCATTGTTCAGCGAGAGGTATTTAAATTTATCTTTAAGATAATACGGAGAAGCAGGATCGTTTAAGATCGAGAAAAGAGTAAGGAGAATTTTAGAGCTATGCCTTTGTTTGACTGTTAGCCATTTGAGGCGAGAACGATAGGGAGTAATATGGTCATATTTTGTAAGGTCAAAAATGTATCTAATGCAGACTGCAAGAGCGCTAGAGCTGCTAGAGCGCCTCTCCAACAACTGCATTATGCATTTGAGAGGCGCTCTAGTTTGTTAAGAAGGTCACTGTTCAAGTCTGTGTATCAAACATCCGCATAATCAATTATTGGAAAAATAAGCGTTTGCACAAGTAAGAGCTTAATCTTAAAAGGGAAAAAATTCTTCAGACGATAAAGGTTTCACAAAGTTACAAAGACTTTACGGCTAACTTCAGTGAGTTGTACTCCCCAATTCATTGTACTGTCCATAACGAGGCCAAGGTTTTTAGTTGATTTGGATAACGGAATACGTTTATTGTTGTAGTAGACAACAGGCAGATTTGCGATGTCAATTTGAGCCAACAATCTACTGCTTTCGACAAAACATTTATTCGGGTTAGCAAATATTCCATAACGTATCGACCAGTTATGAATGACGCTCAAGTTTGAATTTAATCTAGAGAATGCGTTAGGGAGGTCACCAATATCAGCCTGAAGGTAAATCTACAAGTCATCCGATACAGATGGTACGCACATCAAGACATGATGTGATTGAGTTTATAAAAACTGAGAACATTATGGGATAAAGAATACCGCCTTGCGCTACGCCAGAGTCAATATTAGCCCATTGTGAGGACTTTTGTCCTACAATAGCCGACTGCTGACGCCCGCGAAGATAGGATGAGAACCAATTCAAAACTGTGGCAGCGAACCTTAGTTGAGTAAGTACGGCGAGGAGGATATCGTGATCAACTATTTTAAAAGCGTTAGAAAAATCGACTAGCACCATCACTGTCACTTTCTTATCATCCATACCTAATCTAATATCGTCGGTGATTTTAAGTAAGGCAGTAGGTTATTTTTATGTATGAAACAAGAGATTTGCTTATAAACACAGGCTTCCAAAACTGTAGAAAGGAAAGGTAAAATTGTAATGGGGCGAAAGTGATTGGGAAGTATAGGATTAAGGACTTTACGAAGTGGCCGTACAAATGCTTTTTTCCATTCTTTTTTTTCTTGAGTCAGGTTAGTATCAATGGAAATTAACCTTACTCAAGAGAAAAGTTTATAATGTGAGTTACAGCAGGAACAAGGAAACCTAACAAGTTTACTATCATAATTCTACTCACATCATCACAGCCCACAACCCTGGATATGATGTTTTTATTAAGAGATATCAGTTTTCTTCACAGTTTTTCAAGTTTAATATATTTTTATGTTATATGTTAAATTTTTATGGGGGGATTACTATTAAATTGGAGATTGATGCAGGTGCTCAACAATATAATTATTGCGTTTGTTATGTGCCTCCACCTTTATGTCAAAATTATTTAAACAATTTTTTTAAAAACTTTAATAATGTTTTAAATAATCGCGTGGCACAAAAGTCTTTGACGTTACTCATAGGTGATTTCAATTTGCCAAACGTTTCGTGGGTTTATGATTCACTATCTTCTTTTTGCATTCCTATGAATGTCAACAATACGATCGAAAAGTTATTAATCGACGAAATTATGTTTAATAATCTTAATGAGAGTAATAATGTTGTTAAATTTAAGAATAGAATCTTAGATTTAGTAATGTCTAATTTTTCAAACAATATATCTATTTCGTAAGCTGCGTCGCCTTTAACGAAATTGGATGTTCATCATCCTGCATTCCAAATTTGCATTAACCTTAGCAAAAAACTTAAATCACTTGTTCCAAATAGATCACCAAAGCTTGATTTTTTAAAATTTGCATATGCTGCTGTGAATAAAAAGCTTTCTGACATAAATTGGGAAAATATGTAGAAAAACCTTCAGGCGATAAATAGTATGGTAACTTCTTTTTACTCGACATTAGTATCCATACTAGTCGCGCATGCACCCTTCCACAAGCTGCGTAGCGAAAAAAAATCCCTGTTGGTTTAGCATTTGGTTAATAAAATGTCTTAAGAAAAAGCTAAATATCATAAACTCTGTAAAAAATACCGAAATCCTTTAGACAAAATGAAATTTGAACTCTTAAAGGACCGCCCCGAAGCCATGACTAAACAATGCCTATACATTTTCAAAAGTAATGCGTCAATAACTCCACGTTCTAACCCTAGGAAGGGCTAGATGGAATACCACCTATTGTCCTAAAAGAATGTGCGAAATATTTAGCGAAGCGTGATCTATCTTTACGACGAGTGACCCAGAACAGGAATATTTCCAAGAATGTGGAAAGTAGCGCGTATTATATTATGCCTATTTATAAGAAAAATGATTAAGCCGATGTTTCTAACTATAGAACAGTATCGATTCTATCAACGGTTAGCAAAGTATTTGAGTTGATTATCAAAAATAAGCTGCACACTGCACAGGATGGTTTCCTAGATCACAGATCAACCACGAGTGATCTTGTAGCATATGTTACATGTACGCTCAAAAGAAGTGCATACAGTTTAAAGTTTACACAGACTTCAGTAAAGCCTTTGATTTGATTGACCATGACATTCCCATAAAAAATTTAGTATATGGGCATCCATGGGTCTCTTCTAAGATAGTGTGAGTCTTACCTAAAACATCACATTCACATCTAGTAGCATTATGTGGTCATAAGTGTTGTCCTACAAAGGTAGCTTCCGGTTTTCTACATGGATCACATATCGGACCTCTATTTTTTTAATATTAATGTTTTAGCAACCAAAATTAAAAGTCAATGTAAAAATACCGATAACCTTGAGTTGTACCAAATCATTGAAAACGACACGGATATACGTTTCCTGCAGGATGAACTCGACAAAGTCTCACATTGGTGTCTTCACAACCCAATGTGCCTAAACCTTAATATGTATTACCACGTAAAGTTTACAAGGAAGAAGCGCTCAGCTTTTACAGCCTGACCTCGGTGTGACAGTTGATAACGCTTAAAACTTTCGCAACCATTTAAACTGAATCGTGGGCAAAGCATCTCGTTTCTCATGTTTTGTGTCTAGATAGTTGAACGAATTTAAGGATCCAAAGGTCCTGATTGCTGTGTATAATTGTGTAGTGAGGTGTATTCTTGAGTACTGTGCCCCAGTTTGGAATCCAGGATCCAAGGTTCAACTTGACCGATTAGAAAGAATACAAAGACGCTTCTTATATCATCTATCTTATTTCACCAATAAATGCAAATTACTTCTTAGCTATGAAACACGGCTTGATTATTTGATAATGGACACACTGTATAAAGGCGAAAATTTTTCGAGGTTTTGTTTCTGTATAAGACAGTTAATGGCTTTGTCGATGGCCCTGAAAGATTATCTAAGATCAGTTTTGTTGTTCCAAGGAACAGTAGTCCCGTAAACAGAAAATGTCTTTCTTTACCTTTCTGTCTCACAAACATCGGGCAACACTCACCCGTCTATCGAATGATATCGTCCTGTTATGGGATTCAACTTTGATCGGTTTTATGGTTCTTTAGCCTCTGCTAAAGTTAAAATTTAAATTTCTTAATTTTTATCCTTTTTTTTAAATAGATTTAAAAAAGTGTTCCGAAAACAGTGCTCCATGATGTATGATAAAGATAAATATATTTTTTTGCTGCTTTAAAATTATTATTTTGTCAAAAATACTGTTGAAAAACTTATTTTGACTACATAGAATAGAGTGGCCCGGACGGGTTGTCGAGTGGAGTATTCTTGGTCCCTTGGTATGTTTTAAAGTTTTTACATTGCTAATCTTTGCACTTAAGATTGAACATTAAAACATGTAGAACCCTTGGTATGTGATAGATTATATAATATTTTTGAGGATCTACATTTATACTTGTTGCTTTTTATGTTTATTATCACTACCAAAATATGTTATTGAATATAACTTTTGGAAAGGATTATTTTTTATATTTTTTTTGGTATCGCTTTAAGTTTATCAAAAAAGGATAGCGTGCCTAGCTTCTTTTATGCCTAACCCATTAGGGTTAAAGTGAGAGTTGTGTATTTAAATAGCGTATAATAAGTGCAATATTTTACTTCTGTGCTATAATCATTAACATAAGGGATACAGGTGCTCTATTTAGAAGTGGTGACCGTGATACAGGGGAAGTGGTGACCGTGATACAGGGGAAGTGCTGGCGCTCATTGCTCGAATTTCGGCCAAGCAAAGCGCGATCGTGTATATTATATCAGTGATACCATAGATAGTGAGGACTATCCATAAAACTATAAATATAAAAGGTTTTAATGACAAAAATTTACATAATGGCCTTTATAAATATATTAAACATTTTCCTTAATATCTAAGGTTTACAATTAATAATATTTACAATTCTTAACGTAAGCACATTATTATTATAAGTATAAATATGTGTAAAGAAACTAGATTAGTTCTTTATCATGTTTTGGAATTTTTTTTCGGTGTACAGTATTTTTCACCTCCAATAACAATTTTTCTAACCAATAGTTGTGTGTGGATAATCTGAAGGTAAATTCGCCGTCACTTCTTTAGACAATTCTTTGTACACAGCCATCATTGCATCGCGAACTTGTGTTGCTAGGTTTTCCACGTCTTCTGGACCAAGACCCTTTGTTGATATTGGTTCTAGACACTGGATAATGACTTGACCTAAAACAAGTGCGTATAATTAAAAATTCCCCTTATACATATTGCAAAACCTTTTAAAAATGCTGATATACTTGTTTGTTTTTAGTGGAACTAGAAAGATCCAGACAATTTTGTCGCGAAACTGTGGTAGAGCCATGCAATAGTGTTCGCTTTTACACGAATGGGCATGTCCGTCACGGTAAGTACTACGACCTCACAGAAGACCGACGTAAAGTGGAAGTGTTATACTTCTGTGTTTCGTCTGGTGAGGGCGGTAAAGATGTTTTCCTTTACCGTTCAGCAATAAGTGGCATAATAAGTCAGCACGTAAAATCAACAATTAAATTGGTGCCGGCACCGGAGATTCCCCCTCGCACCAACGCCTTGTACCGCACGAGGTACGAGCCTTTTGCAGACTTCCGTGGTCTTAGCAGCCCCTTCTCGGAGAGCAACTCCCATCTCTTCCAGGTAAGGCACGCTGGAACATCCTACTCGGCCCCTTTGTCATGGCCAACAAATACTCCCGAATTCGCTACCAGAGGCCATTGGAATGCTAATAAGCAGCAAGTCTTCCAACCCCCAGCGGGGGAACCTGGTCTGTGGCTCCGTCGTTCACCACATTTCGGCCGGGGAGGGTAGGGAGAACGGCGTATTGTAATACCAATATATCAGTAATAAATAATAAACATTAACTCTGTAAAGAAATCATGCGAAAAGATTTTATAAACCAACTTATTTTTTTTCTTATAACACCATATAAGTACCTATGGAGTACCCTACAGATTTAATTGTGCAAAAATCCCTTTCTCTGGATTCCTAAAGGTCGATACAGACAAACTTACGAAAACTTGGTCGAAACTATTATAATCAAATCATTTTATATAATAATAAAAACTACCTTTATATTACCTTTATTGAAAATACCTTCTTTCCTATTTATAAAATAATATGGCGAGAACACAACGGGTATAACCGGAACTTGAGCAGCAACGGCCATATGGAATGCGCCCTTTTTGAAAGGCAATAAACTTGTGTAATCTTTATTCCGCGTCCCTTCAGGAAACAGCCAGATTTTTGTCTGAAAGTTATTATGTGAACCAATCAGATGCCATTTGCTACATTTGGTGTTTAAATTGAAGTTTTAATTTATTTGTAGGTAATATTAAAAAAACAGGCTTGTTTAATTTATCTTAAAACTATATACCTACCTTCTGTTTGACCATAACGTCCGAAGTAATTTTAAGTTGATCATATGCCCGCTTGGTATTCTTTCTGTCTATAAATACTACCCCAGCAAGGTAAGCTGCGAATCCAAATGGCATAGCGTACATTAGCTCCTTTTTGGCAACCGCTGTCAACTTATCTGCTTGTTCCCATATGTTGAATAGACCTAAAATATTTAAATAAGTTTAATAACTTATTCATGAATTTATATTATCGCATTAACGTCGTGCGATCTTTCGGTTAGGTTGCAGGTTGCATCATTTCATCATTGACTGCTGTATGATCACTGAAGGACTGAGTTGTATGACGAATGTCACTATTAACACGGGCTATCACCAGCTTTTCTATTATTTATTTCAGGAAACAAATAATTTGGTGTTGGCGGCCTTGAGTATGTATACTCGTTAACGTTGTCAACATGTATACTTTACATGCTGACAACGTTACTTATTTATCGATACTTTTCATGACCACGGAACGAGATGTATTAAGTCTTGTACTAAAATTATTAGAACCGCGGTGCGGGGTTCTACTGACCACGCAGAGTTTCCGAAACTTTAACCTTGTTTGTGTTTTATAATACTTTCTTTTGCTCATTATAATTAAGGTACTCGCTTTACACTCGCGGTTCCGCAATCATTGTTTTGGGTTCTACTGCGTTTATAAATGCTCCCAATAATAGTTTTTCTCAAATATCTTCCATATACAGACAACGATCACTTACATTTTTATAATGTATAGAATAGATTAGTTTACTTAAATCCGAGGCCGTACGTTAATAGCATGATTTGTTTAGCAACTGTTGGTCAAGTAAAATGAATTTGCATCCCGTAGCGCACCAAATGCAAGGAATTATGCAAATGCTGTAGTGTTGGGAAAATAAAATGTCGGTGAAGTTTATTCGACTTTTATTTCGACAATTTTACTTTTATTTATTAACAAATTCTTCAATGATCTAATATTTACAAGATTAAATCTATCTAAAATTACCCTGATGGTAAGTGGCGATGCAGCCTTTGATGGTAAGCGCGCTAGCTCATCAATAAAATTAGTTATAAAAAATATAACTACACATTATTTTATCGATTTGTATTGACAAATTGGCCGATTTGGCAAATTTTGGTTTTGAAAGATTTGTGGCAGTCTAGGGAAGATTTAAACGATGAGAAAATACGGAAAAATTGCATGGAAAATCGAAATAACAACAATTTTATTTTCCCATACAAACTGTACCTCTCAACTATGTCTGCGTGCGTTCCGATAATTCTCCTTTTATGTGTTTAGATTGTTCCTAGACATAATTTATATGGCAAAACAACGTTTGCCGAGTCAGCTAGTATATTATAAAAGCGCATTCACTATAAATATTATTTTGTTGTTATATCGTTCTATCGTTTTATCGTTTAATATTTCTTATATTTACAATTTTTTTACACTTTTGACCTTTTGAATAAATTATCATCAAGCCGCGTGATATTTTTTTAAAAGTTAATATTAATATTTTGTGATAAAAATATTGACAAGAAATTCGTAGTGAGGCTGTGGGTTAAAAACACAATTATAAAAAATTCTGCGCTTATAACATCAGTGTGATAAATAACTTACCCAAAATATCAAGGGATGATTGGTGGTTCGAAACTACTACGGCCCCACGATCTTCTCTCAGTATTTCTCCCTTGCGGAGTTCCCATTTTAATTCATATAATTTTGTTACGTGTTTTAAAATACTGGCACCTAATCTGTAATTAAACACGTTTTTGTAGTTAATTAACTGTGGTCATAATCGGAGTGTAAAATTATTTTTTAAACGTGTCCTACGTTATATCTCCTTGCAATTAATATCTGAGGATGACAGCTAGAATAATGACATCCTTATATAAATAGTTGTTGTATGCTTTAAGTAATGTAAAATATTATTCAATAACATTACAGATTTAAACTCCATTCTCATTGACTTGCAACTTTACGGTAATTAGTTATAAATATTTATTAGCACTTTTAGAAATTCTTTTTTTTTCTTTTTTTAAAAACATTGCCCTTACTTTAGGATAACATTATTCTGTGTTGTAAGGACGTTTTACAAACATAAATTTGAGATGCGAAACGACTATCTGTGGGTCGCACAAATAGTTGTCCCGTGTGGGAATCGAACCCACGACCCCCGACGCCAAAGCCGATAGCTACTGCGCCACGGAGTCCTCATAGAAATAAAGAGACCTAATTAAGAAAATCATGATTTTGCCGTCAGGAAACGATCTAAAACCAATGATGTACAAAGATATGACTAAATAATCGACAGGCAATTTTTACGTTGTGTGTGGCTCATGGCTGACCGGATTTATATAATTAGAGAACAAACTAAAATAATAGTACATATACGTGTATATTTGTATTGTATTTCGGGTCTGCGTATTATGTACGCAAAAATATTCTATTCGGGTTGAATGGATCTTTGTAACAATATATTTTTTGTAACTTGTAAATATATGTATGAATATGCTTGTTTATTCGATGTTACCATTTTGTTAAATACTAATAGATAATCATAATATTAACAAAAGACACTGTTATGGGTTTTTTTGCGTTATCACGGTTTATATGTCAAATATTCAAATGTAGACCATTCATATTACCGTCCCTATCTCATTCTTCCGTAACAATAAACTTTGGACCACAATATGTTTTACAGTTCAAGGTTTGGAAGTGTTCTAATACATGGAATTGAACTATTCCACTTTATTTTGAATTAACAAAAATCTATCGATGCAATACACGATAAATTACGTGTTAGGTTTGCTTGGCAAAGCATTTCATTAGTTTATTGCGTTCAACTATGTTTTGATGTGATACGTGATCAGATCATAAAAAACAGTAACACATTTTAGTAGATTTTTATGTATTTTAATAATTAGCGGTAATGAAACAAACTAACTACGCCATTGTTTCGTCTGCAAAAAGTAAACAGGTTGTTCATTGGGCAGTGCGCTTGTATAATAAAATCTAACAGTTGTTATTAAATCGGCCACTTGATCAATTTAAACGAAAAATTAAAAGTAAACTTATGGTTAAAGCATATTATACAATTGCGGAATATCTCGACGACGCCAAGCTAAAATAAAAAAGTAACTGATCTTTTTAAAAAATAGCATCTGTTGAGTTTCTTGCCGGTCTCTTCTCAACCGAAACTATTTACGAACTTATGTATCACTTTTTATGCAAATTCGTCGTTTCATAAGAATGCGCTAGCGTCTATTTGAGTTAAGATATTGTAAATTTTGAACATAACTAGTCAAAGGACAATGGCGAACTCTCATTCAAATTTTTGTTGAACAAATTTTTTTGCGTCTTAAGACGAAAAATGTGTAAATGTATAGAATTCAATGTTCTGAATATATCATGGAATGGAATGTGGAATTAAAGATATTTCGGTCTAAAGTTTTTAAGGTTATCTAGTATACTAGTGCAATGAGTTTAAATAATAATAAAAACAATCTATAATAAAATAGACTGAGCTCTATGTAAAAAAGGATTATAATAAACCATACGACGCCATAGAAGTTTCCAGCACCTACAGGGTAGCACATTACATCTCTAATATTCTGTTCAAATCGATCTGACGGAGTATTCATTCTAAACGGCAGTTATATTTTATTGTGATGATGTTAAAAACGTTTACCAAATAAGATAACAGATTTTCCTTAACGATACTATCAATATATTTCGACTTTTACAGCTATTAAAAAACCTCAGAAATAGCCCGCGATATGATGAATAGCCAGAAAAATGAAGCTGTTTTTTATATTTACGTAGGTATAGGTTAAGGACTGTTATATTCGAAGAAAAACATTTAAAATATTAGATATTCCATTAATAAGACATTGTCTTTAGAATTATTTATTCCTCATTATCTCTTATGAAAAAACTACCAAGAAAACCTGCTGGTCCTATAATACTTTGGTAATTCTGGCCCGTCAAAACTATAGTAATTGTATGAACACAACTTTTAAATTGCTACTTTCTTAATTAATTTTTAGGTAGGCTGTTTTATTAGTAAAACACATTCATGGATATTTTTATAACACTAATTTGAGTATTGCTCAATGATTCTCTCCATTTTAGATAAAAAGAGATTAGGATACAAGGGCGATACAATTCCGCATTTAACATAAGTCATACTTTCTTGCCCTTCCATTATCAAAGCATCCTTATCGTACAACTTATGATTTTAGTTTAAATAATATAAGCATCAATATCGCAAAGGTGTCTCTCACAAATCACAACAAAATTTCCACCAAAATCACAAAATCTTCCACTTCGTAATCGTACCCAGTAATAATATTTGATACAGTAAATTCACCAAAATTAACTCAGCACAATTTAAACAAAAAAAAATTGGCAACCAACAAAATAAAAGCAAAACAACAATCTGCCATCTTTAGTTTTTAGTGAGGCCTTATCAAAATCACAAATCCTATAATTGGCAAAATATTGTTGAAAATCGAGTTCACAGGCTTGGTTAATAATGAAGTATTTAGAAAATTAAGAATGCTTATTATTTCTTCGTGTAGTTTAAAATATACACAAATTATTTGTTGTTATTAGCTACGTCCAGTTTATAGTTCACAATTGGTAAAATCTAGGTCCTAAAATTGTATTTGAGGAATTAAACGTCTTTATGTTTCAATTTTTTATTCGAAATTAACTTCGTCAGTCAGACTGATTGGTGTTTACTTTTTCCATTCAACGGTTTTACTATACTTGTGTTAGATTTAAGAAATAATTGCAAATCTATCTTATTTTAATTTATAAATGGTAAGGTGATTCTTAGCACAGAAATATGACATTTTAAATCTTTAGAAATATTTATGATATAAAAATATATTTTCAAAACATTTTAACGCTAAATATAAATAATAGACTAGACATATTATTTAACTCGGGACTTGATTTTATAATATGGTAACATTAATTGCACGGCAAGCAAGCCTGACGAATCCACTGTCGATATTTTTAGTCAATTGAGTTTTCAAAAATAAATGAAATTTTCCCTGACAAGTGTACAGGCATTTATTATAATTTGAAAAATCTTAAGAAATTATAATATTTACATCTGTAACTATGCTATTTTTAGACGCTTGAGATTTCTCTCAACAATTTTTTCACCATTGTCCTTCATCACATCCTAAATACCCAAACCTGTAGGTACCTGTACCTGTTCCTAGTACCTGTGGGTATTCAGATGTCTAAAATTAGTTAGCATGTTAGATAGTTCCTATAGCAATCATAGATCAAAAATTGGTTGACCAAAAGAGGAGAAAAAAGTTCCGATATCTATTTCTTACAAATTAAGGGATAGTTTTTCCCAAACATGTATAACTGTACATTGAATTGAACATTTTCTATCAGTCGGTCGAATTTTTCTAATTTATTGAAAGAAATTTGGAATTATATTTACATCAATAATTACCTACTACAAAACAAAACACTATTAAGTGAACATTAATTTTTCAAATAGAAACTTTTGAAATTTGGACAAAAAATTATTCTCCAAAAATTATGATGAAAATAAGATACATATGAAAATATAGATTAACTACTATAAATACCGCTTTACTTGAACCTCTTATTTTATTATTATTATATAATTTTATACAATTATATAAAATTTATCAATTATATATAAATTAATGAAGTCCAGCGATTCCAGGGGGCCCAAATTTTGGAATAAAGGGCATTCTAGTGCAGGTTGCGCTCTCGTCTCTCACTAAGGCTACATCTCACTATTACTAATGAATTGTTTTATAGATAGATATGTATCTCCGACAAGAAATAAAAATTCTCATTTCAAAATGAAACCAAAAGAATCGGGGATTAAGACTCAACAAATTATTGATGACCAAAGTGTTGCAAGGTTAATGTTTGATTAAAATAAAACTCTTTATTAAACCGTAATTTTGATCAGTAAAAATCGATGGGAAGTAATTATCATTATAGTTTATGATGTAAGCAATAAAAAGATGCTATTGGTGTTATTTTTTATTAGTTTTTATTTCTCTTTTATTAAACTTCATTGTACTTTGTATTATGTGTGAAAGCAAATTGAAATTAATAAATATCTACCGTTAAATTTTAAATATAATAAAATATGCTGTATAAACTTTAAGTAAGAGGAAAAATACTTACTTGGCGTTTTTAACATTTTTCGGGTTAATCAAAAATAATGGCCATATAAAAAATGCCAATAAACTGCAGCTTAGGTAAAATACAAAAAAATATAGGTGATATTTTATTTTGCTTGATTCGGTATACGAAATTTTTTTAGAGAAAAACGAGGCCGTTAAAAAACACGCGGTGATCAACAAAATAATTTTTTCCCACATATTTGCCGAATACAAATCGCACTGTTGGACAAACAATTAAGTGTGGTGTTCGCCAGTACAGAATCGGATATACTGACGAATATTATAGGTTACAACAGCTGTTAGAGTCGTAATCAATTAGATGTCTGCAGATTGTAGATCCGTGGGGACCTGGCCTTGTCTCATTTTTGTAAGAATGTGCGGTGCGAAGGTAAAATCTAGAAGACCATGTCGAGAGCAATAAGGAAGTATTTTGTAGAATCTTTAGCACGCGATAAGTACGAAATAAATAAATTAATGTTTATGGTATATATGGTATATGGTACATAGGTGTACAAGTACATATATGTTTATATTAAAATAAATTTATAGGTAAAGCAACGGTTTCTTTCTTACATACATATATGTTTATATTAAAATAAATTTATAGGTAAAGCAACGTTACTTACATATATGTTTATATTAAAATAAATTTATAGGTAAAGCAACGGTTTCTTTCGGTTGGATCGCTCAGCAATATTATAGGTATATTTATGAAGTTGGTAATTTTTTAATTTATTCAAAGTACTCTGGTATACAGCGTGCCGTTACAATCGCAACAATGAATGAACACACATATAGAGGATAACTTTTTAAAATTATATGAAACATTTACATACTTAAACATAAATATCCTACGAGTTATTAAATTTTCCAAAACGAACAATTTTAGAACACCCTTACGTATAAAACTGTAACGTAAAGGTTGAATGAATTTAAAAGAGATAAAACATAGTGTTAGAAGGAGAGATTTGTAATGCGTCGCTTGGCAACGAATGAAAAAGTCTCTGAATGTATTAATCAGTCAGTTGTAGTTGTATAGGATGTTACAAATTTTGGTTCTTTTTTATTTAATTAGTTTGTTTGAAAAATGTTTTTTTTTAATTATAGTTTTTTTATCGCTTACATTTTTTTATGATTATTGGCAAGTAGCGTTAGACGTGTGTTCAGTTATTGTCGCGATTATAACGACATGCTGTATATAGCATTATTGCATATTATGCATATTTTTGAAATACTATCTTCATCTTCCAGGTTAATTTGGAAGATGAAGATAGAATTGCCGCGGGGTGCAAGAAAATTTCAGGTGCAATGGATACCACGTTCTTTAAAACAGTTCAATTAAAAAAAAATATTTTCTAGTGCTAATCTCTGCGCTTAAGACGCAGATTTAAGTAACGCAATTTAATTGTAAAATTATGTTTACTAAAACTTAATTTCATAGTTCAACAATTGTTCTGATTTCTTATTCAGCACAGCAAATTATTAATGTAACTAAATCTAACTATTTTCTTAATAAAATACAATTAACATTTGCGATAGAAAAGCAACTTTACAATTTTAGATAAAATAATTAAGAGGTCAAAACTAGGCCTCTTCGGACTACTGATACTTTATCTAATGATAGCTGTTTTTTATCACAATTAAGCATTAATGTTAAATAAAAGTATTGTTAAAGACAGATAGATGATGAAATTTTTTAAAAGCAATTATTGTCAACCATCGTAATTCGTATAAAGCGAATGTTCTTGAACTTGGGACTATTTAGTTAAGCTTTATGGTAACAGAAAAAAAAAACATACACTCGATTCTAGGTTAAAAGCTGTTAGTTCTTTAAATTAAAACCTATGACGTCTAACTTTTCGATAAAAAGGTCATTTAGTCTGAAAAGTATTAAGCAGTGAGACATTTGTATTGGTAAAAATTTAAGGAACTCATAAAGTCAAAAAAGCAGAAATACATTGGAACATGCTACCCGGATGACCGTATAATGAATAATACATCATATGAGAAGAATTTGATTGGTCAATCAGGCGCAGGGAATTCTCGGTATAACATTTGGGACATCGTTAATTAGCTATAGTCATATAATGTATATTACGTAGAATCTACTGTGCGTTACAAATATGTGAATCTGTTTTCTTAAAATGCAAGTTTTTTAAACACGTTTGCTATAAGCAGTCTACCTTGTCGAAACTAAATGTTTTATCATAGAATTGATTGAATTTAACCTCGGCCGATTATGTTCGGTTTATACTCTGATTTTTTAATTCTTATATATCTAACTATTTTATATAATTTATGTAAAATATATCACAAATATCAAAGAACGCGTAACGTAGATGTTAAAAGTAATGAATTCGGAACTGAAATAAACGATAAATAGTTTTTTTTTTAATTTTAATGTGTTCTTCGTTGCCTATGGAGGTTTCTTCACAATATCAAGAGTCAAGGTTACCAATCTTACATCACATTATGTCCAATCAATAAATTAATGTTACGTCTAAGGAGCTCGACGTCCTTGTTAGCTAGTCCATATTTATTATCATTTAGAGGTTACTCAACGAAAACATAACAGTAGTGAAATAAATAAATTATAAATAGAACTCTTATAAATAAATCTCAAATGGTCTATTATGTAGGATTCGATTTGCGACTGGTAATAAACAGAAATGTGTAATAACTACGTCAACTGAATCAAGTTTATAACAGAGCGACTAATTAATGTGTTTTTGATTAATGCGATTACCGATAATGAGTTTTCATTATTAATAGTCATTGTTTCAACAAATCAGAAAGTTAAAGGGTTAGTTCGCTACGGGATGAATGACGGGAATTTCATAAAAGTTTTATGTTTTCTAAATTTTATATTCCGTAATTTAAATGTCATAAGTATAACCACTACAGGAAGACCATATGTATATCCATTGCTTTATAGGGATCATGTTTATCGCAACTTAAGCGAAATGGGAAAAGAAATATTTTTCGCTATCAATATACGTAAGTATTGTTTTTTTCAGTTTAGGTTACACAGGTAGGTAAAGCAGTAAAGCAATACCAGTTTATATTAACATCCCATACTGCTTGAATGTCCCTTTACGAACGTCCAGGGACCGGGGTCCCGCGGCCGCACACTAGGGCGGCGTGAAGAAAAGGCCAAACGCAGATATATAAATTTTGAATATGTTCAGTTTGTCGGTTTCTTAGCCATCATTCCTTACCTCCTCCTCCGTTGTAAGTATTCTTTGGTAGTGGTCCTCGCTTAACATTAGGGGAAACACGTGCTCAGTTGCCACCTCTTTAAGAAAAAGAGACTATGATTTACACTACCTATTTCGTTTGCATTGCAAGTTAATGTTTTTTATTTTTTTTATTTATTTCGTTTACCAGCAATCGTTACATTTATACATTAATTAGAAGTAATGTTTATACACAAAATTAAAAATACAATGTTCTAACCATGTGTCCCCCACATGGTTCCAATCTTATACAACAAACGCGACAGATGCATACACACAAGATATTTGAAAACGGTAAATGGATTGGTGCATTCCACTACGATCCGAACCTGCGACCTAAATATTGCAAATCCACCGTCCAAGCTGGGAAAGATTTAAACTTAATTTAAAAACTATTTTTGAAATAAACTCAAACAGGTTTTTTTTCAGACCCATCTTGTGTTCAGAAAAAAGGACAATGTATTCCAAGAGCAAAGTGTGTGTCAAAGAAAATGCTATACATATCACGGGTTTGCTACATACGTGATTTAGTATGCTGTTATGATGACTCTATTCGATTTCCTGATGTTGCACCATCAGAACCAAACAATGAAACATCAACATAATCCTCGCTTTTGATATTCAATAAACATAAAGTTTTACTTTGACGTAAAATAATCTTAACATATCCTTTAATACGTATATCACGCAACCACTGAATCAAGCATCAAACCTTTACTTTTACCCGGAAAATTTATGAAAGATTTTTGTGACATTAGACAAGAATTATAATTACAATGGTAATAGTTCCCTATAATTAATAGTTATATAATAGTTCCCTATGCATGCCAAGATTCCTATTTCGATATGTGAAAGTGGCACCGTTTTAGATACGTAAAAAATAATATATACACTGTGAATCTACTCGATACCTTTAGCGCGCCATAAAATAAACACGTTCAAATTGTCTCCGCAATATTAAATAACGATGACATTCTATATAATCAATTTTTGCGATGAATATTTGCAATATTTGCAAGTAAGATTTTCAGCTTATTCCATCAGCTTTTTAAGGCTACTTTTGCCATAGGTTACATTTCGGAGTGTGAACAGGAGCTGCATCATTAAATTTCCCCTCCCCCTTCCATCAATCGACATCGACAATTAGTCGCTCTGCAGGACGCTATTAATATGTTGTCGACATTCCCCGCTTTTTTGAAAGAAAGGGTTTGCCCGCCGTTTAATTCGTAATGCGTAGTAACAATTAATATAGTAACAATTGATTAATGCGTAGTACAGTAAAGAAGTGGAACAATTAGCCGCATCAGTTTATCCGTAAGATTATATTGTGAGGGCCTTCGAGCAAAGAGTGAATATACCGCAACTGAGATGAAATGATAGTCAACTCACCACGTGAACATTTGGACGTCTTATTTACTTTGTTTTTATTGAATTTTTTGTAATACTTAGCACTACCTAACTACTTGTGATTCCTTTTTTACTTTAAAAAACAAATTTTCCATGAATGTTAAACACGCCATTTGTTGTTAGTGTGCCCATATAGTATATTGTTTACATTTCCTATAAACGTCGATAGTGTAAAATTATTAAAGAATTATAATTTGAAATAAAATGTCATTTTTAAATGCAAATGTTTATGATAGGTAAATACTACAATACTATGTGATTATAAATTATTTGAAATAAAAATATTTTTATTCTCTTTTATTGCATGGTAAATTTTATACCTTTATTATATTATCTATTTTACATCACAGTCACAGTTTAAATGTTAACTATATTAAGAATATAATTTATCAATGATATATTATATCATTAATATATATTAGCACATACAGATGCCTTTCAAGATAATAAAAACAATACTTCATATAAAAATTCCCACGTTTGTATGGTAAATTTTTAAGCATTAATCTTATTCAGTTTGTTGCAGTAATAATAACCCCAATTTAATTTAAGCGTCCGTATACGAATAAACGTACAAATGACGTCGAGATAATTATGTCTTGGTTTTATTTTCATTAATTCTTCTTCTCTTGTATTAACTGATGTTTGTGCTTTCAGTCCTGAGACTATTAAAGCTTCATCTGACGCAGAACCGGTGGGCTAGCCAGAACCCACGGGTTTGGGCCCTCCGCTGTGGGTAGGGCCACGCATGTGCTCATGCGTACGTTTAAGTGCGGTATGTCATCTAAGGGCCATCGAGGTCGCGGTTCGGACCGAAACCCCGATGGCCGTCGACTGTGCAATTAGCTAATCGGTGGCTGGGAGCGGTGAGAACCGCCCCGGAACGCGGGTGTACCTTGTGTACGACGGTTGTGATCTTTCGGCCTCGTGCACTCGGTTGTGCCGTGGTCACCGGTGCATTTGACGCACCTAGGGTGAGCGAAGCAATTATTGGCCGTGTGGCCAAAATGTTGACAGTTGTGGCACTGTGCCACAACACCTGATTTACGTGGGGGCTCGATGACTAAGTCACTGAGCCCACAGACCCTCTTTAGGTTGAAGATGGCCTTACCTTCCGGGGTAGGGTCAAGTTCAACCATGACCATGTCCATAGGGACACGGGTTCTGGGGTGTCTAAGTCGTCGCACTGCGTGTACGGGGTATCCCTGAGTGCGGATATCGACTTTGGCCTTATCGACATCCGACTCTTTCGGGACGCCCTTGATAACTACCCGAAGTTTGCGTTCTTCGGGCAACGAGTAGGTGTGAAAACCTATCTTATTTTCGCGCAAGTTTCATTAATTGTAAAGTGTCATGTACCATTCTAAATCAAATTAATACAAAAGAATTTCTGTATTCAATATAGCCTAGTTTTAAACGCTTATTAACTTCGAAAAACTACCGACCGAGAAGAACCGACAAGAAACTATGCTCTTGTTATCTCCTTTAAAAAAAAAGATTTATTAAGTATAAAATCAGCAGGAGCCAGGAGACTTGCAAGTGAGGCGTGCTAAGCAAGAAGAGTAATTTCCACACATCCTTGTCCTTAATCTATTCTTGAACGTATTTGAAAATGTTTGAATGGTTTACACTTAGTTGTTTGCGGCTGTAACCAATGATATTTTAATGAAGATGAAGCATGTCGATACTGCAAAGCGTTTAAAAATTGTTCCGCTTTACATTATATGGAATGTGACTGATGATATAGAACGTATGACGCGAAAAGAGATAGCAGTCTATAGAATTGAAATCTAATTACAAGATTTAGCGTAATTTGAATGCCTCGATTTCGGTGCGCTGGTGTCATATCTACTTCGTATTTGTATAGAATGTCACTAATTTTATTACAAAAATTGATACATTTAAAAAAAACCTATTTTCTGGTTTTAGCAACTCTAAACCTCGGTACTTCCAGATGGTTACTATGGCTCCGACGCGATGTGGTATGTTTTTTTTATAAAGAAATGGATATAAATACATATACAAGAACATACGTATTAAGGACATACATGATGTTCTCGAATAAGTATGGTAACCGGAGAATTAAAACGTTTATTTGCCTAAATAGATGCCGTAGTGACTCACGTGGACCCCAGCCATAGACCGTCTGTATCGATTGCTTTTGTAACACAAAAATAGAGTTTAAACCAGAGGGGTAACGCATCAGCAATACATTATAAGATATAAAATTGTGAAAATGAGCACAATAAACTAATTAAGGTGTTGCCTCGTTTGTTAGCTGATTGATCTTGCGTATGGCAAAGACTGCAGCGCTCAACTTCTTTGCTATTTTTTTATATGAACTTCCCATTGCAATTTGCACTCAATACATATTCCAAGAAAAGCTGTATAATCCTGAAGAGGGCGGATTTTCTCTACAATACATTCAATATTTCAATACATTTTTTATCACTACAGGCTTGTGAGACAACTTAGATTTACATGTACTTTTTAATGGTAACGTAATTTAGTTAGTAACGTAAATTATTGGTTGTAAGCCAGCCTGACAACATCAAAGTAATTTATTCGGTTGTTCTAGTGTTTCATCTTTCCTTTTGACTGAAAAAAATAGTTAAGTGTCGCAAACAAAACAACTTGAGACCTTTTTTCCACCATATATGGTAAATATTACTAATATAAACAAAGAACAGAAATGGACCTTGAATCGATACCCGGGTAACAACCATTTGTGCTACTGGACCCAAAAAAAATATGCCATTTAAGATTACTTTTGTTCCCTGTGTAACAAAGAAAATGGCAGATTTGCAAATACTATAATATTTTATAAGAATTGTGTGATCTACAAAATACGTTTTGACAAGATCATAGAAGGCCGATGGTGTCATTGAAGTCTTTCCAATTTTGCATGATATGCGATGCTAATTCTATTCCTGCATTAGTTTTAAGTCTACCTGTACGTTTAAAATTCTGTATTTTTAAAATGGACTGTCATTTCTTTTAGAATTATTTTCTTAAATACTTTACTTAAAGCTGGCAATATAGAGATGGGATCTAGAAGGATTTACCCTTAAGCCTGATTAACATACTGGGATAGCTTTACTATATTTCATTTGTTTTGTCATCGTCGGTCAGGTGATGGAATGTAGTTCGCTTTTTGTTACCAACTTTTTTAAATGCTCAACCGTGGCGGAACAATTAAACAAACCTGTTTGGCAGCTGTATCATACCATAGACCAATTTAATCCACTATGGAATTCTTTGATTTCCGTCGACCTTTTCAAGATTCGATATGGAAACTCCAGTTTGTTATTGAAATTATAAAGCTTCCGATAATATTAAAGAATATTAGGAGGTCACATGTTAAATAAATGTAATTCATTCTGTTTTGAATGAACTAAAATTATATATTACACAAATTTCATTTATCCAGTTCCTGTACATTTGCACATGTTGTTGCTCCAGGGAGAGTCGTCCTACACTACGATGACCTATGCCTGCCACTCTAAAACCTTTCTTCTATATCAGTTATCGGTTCTTTACACATTTTATATCAGGTCATTGTTACTTCAGCTTACTAATTTTCTAAACTACGTTAGTAGGTACTCGCCAAGCCGAATTAAACGAGTAAGTCGATGGAGTTGTGTCGTTTCATTACAAAGTTCCTATGATCACCTTCCAGCTCCATCATCAGACCCTAGTTACAATTGAAAGACAAACTACTCGTCAAGACGATACAAATGAGCCCAAACTTGATGAGGTTGTATTGTTTCATTGCGAAGTTAAGGATCTTGGACACCTTGCAGCTCCATCATCAGATCGGCACCATGCCATCATAATATTGCATTGTTACACGTTTTACACACATATAAAAAAATTCAGCTCAATTTTTAACCGGTAAGTGGATCAAATTTTTAGGATTTGGTGACAAACATCGGGACAGGTGAAGCTCAATAAAAGCTTGTAAAAACAGTTCTGTGATTTTTTGATTTCCGTAATTTTGGCGTTCGGTTAATTTTAGGTAGCCTGTTGATTTAAAAAGTAAAGTGTTTTTGTTTCGTTGTTCAAGAAGTATTTTGAATGATATTCACGAGTCGAGATTTATCGGTCAGAATGCCTATAGACTCGGGTATCCACGTACTCGTATATACCAGCTCAACGTAATTTTAGAACAAAGCATGTGTACGCTTGTGCGGAT